GGTGACACCCCGCTGCCCCGGGGCCACCCCGCCGCCCTGACACCCTGCCACCCCATCATCCTGGTGACACCCCACCACCCTGCCACCCTGTCACCCTGACTCCCCACAGTCCCGGTGACACCCCGGCGCCATGACACCCCATCACCCCGGTGACACCCCCCTGCCCACCTGGGCCGGCTGGCTGTGGGGCAGGGGCCGCGCGCCGGTGTGGTTCACCGTCCACGGCCCCAGGGACTGGCTGGGGGGGGGGGGGAAAGTCCATGGGGTAAGGCTGCTGCCACTCCACGTCCTGGAGAGCCACCGCGGCCTGCGGAGGGGACAAGGAGCTGAGCCCCCGCGCGCTGCCCGCCGTGGGGGAGCCGGCGGTGCTGGGAGAGGTGCCAGCGCGGTGGCTTGGCGTGCCAAGCAGGGCAGTGCTGGAGGGAAGCTCGCGCCACCGGGAATCCCACTGGTTTCACAAGAGATCGGAAATTCCAGCGGGACGCCCGGGCTGCGCACGGAGCACAGACAGGGAGCGGAGGGGATGCCACCCGGCCGCAGGGACGTCCCCGTCCTGGTGGCTCGCAGCACCGCAGCTCTGCGGGAGGCTGCAGGGCGTCACCCCGAGCCAGGGCTGGTCCCCCCAAGATGGAAGGGGGGTGCTCACCTCGTAGGGTGTCAGCAGGGGCTTGCTGAAGGCTTCTCCCCAGTCGATGGAGAGCCGGGGACAGGCCACCTGCACCCACCTGGGAGGGAAACACACAGCAAGGGGTGGGGACGAGCGTTTTGGGAAGAACAAGCTGCGATGAAGCCCCACAGCAGCCCCCGGGGAAGGGAGCGGAACGGGCAGGGAGCAAGGTCCCCACTGCTGGAGCCACCCTGCCGAGGACAGCCACGTCCCCAGCGCCCAGCCACCCGTCACCTTTGTCCCCTCCCCGCCCCGTGGGCACAGCACCCGTCGGGGTGCACGCTGCCAGGTGACAGCAGGACAGACGTGGCAGGGGCAGCTTCCAGCGGGAATCAGAGGCCTGGACAGGGATGGGGCACCCTGGGGACCCTGGCGTGGGGGGCTGGAGCGGGGCCAGCAGCACTCACGCATCCACGTCAGGGAAGAGCCGCAGCTTGCTGGGGAAGATCTCGGACAGCAGCACCCGCACGAAGGGCCGGCCCAGGGCACGGAGACGCGACTCCAGGTGCTGCGGGGGGAAAGGCACCCGGTGGCATTAGGGGAGCCCAGACAGATGCCCCCGTCCAGCCCCCCAGGCCCTGCCCACAGCCCCTTCCAGGCCATCTGTGGGTCCCCGCTCTGCCCCATGGCCACGGCCCCTCGGCGGTCGCAGGCCGGGCACAGTGACAGGGACCGCGGCCATTGCTCCGGCTTGTGCCCAGCTCTCCCCAGCGCGTGCCTCAGCCTAATGAAGTAATTACCGCTCAATGACAACAATCTGTTCTCGTTAGTGGCTGGGAGGGCCGGGCCCCCTGCCACGGGCTGGCTGTGGCCAGAGGCTGCAGGAGAAGGAGAGGGGCCCAGGAGGGACCAGGGACGTCCTTGTCCTCGGCCCCACTCCCCGGGGCCACAGCGGTTGCTGGGACCTTGCTGCCCGGCTCTGCCCGCCGGTCCTTGTGCTGCCCCAAGTCTCACCTGTGGCTCCCCAAAAATTTCTGGGCGTGAGCGGGGCTGCTGTGCTCAGGGCACCCCACTGCCACGGGGCAGGACACCGTGGTCCTGCTCCCCTCACCCGGCCGGGTGCAGACAGCGGCAGCGCAGCGGCTGAGCAGGGACGGTGAACCCGATCAGAAGTTCATCCAATTAAAACAAACCCAGGGAATTAATTGCCGAGCTGCCTGTGCGGGGGGGGCTCTGAGGCTGGCCAGCTCTCCCCAGCAAGGGGCAGGTTTAATGAGCCCTTGTCTGGCCTCCCTCATCCGCTGCTAACTGCCCTGCCCGCTTGGCTCGGGGCACGCAGACCCTGGCCAGTGGCAACCGCTGGGCCACTAACAGTGCCGGTTCCACCCTCGCCCCAGCAGCGAGACCACTGTGCCGACGATGCTATTGCTCCCCTGTCCTTCTCCCCGCCCAGGAGCAGCACCGGGTGCCCAGGCGGGGGCCGTGGGGAGGGGGCCGGTACCTGCAGGATGCCGGGGGAGCCCTGCCGCCCCAACGTGCCCAGGATGAGCCCCCAGCAGTGGGCGCTGGCGGCGGCGCAGATGGCATCCTGCCGAGCACGGCGCATGTGCTCATGGCCGTAGTGCTCCTGGGAGAAGACCTTGCTGTAGGGATCGTACCTGCAAAGCAGAGCCAGGCTTACACGCGCCCTGTCACCTGCCTGCACCCCATCACCCTGCCCCCCAAACGATGCCCCTCCCTCGTTAGCACTAATTGCCTCCCACGGTGTATCTCCCCCCCGACTGATGCAGGGCCCAGCTGGCTCGCCAGGGCGCAGAGACGGGACAAGGACGGGGACAAGGCAGGTGTCCCACCGCAACCCCCAACACCTGGCACAGCCTGGGCCGCGTGCTCAGCTCCACACTCTGCTCCACGCTCGGCTCCCCCCCATCCCAGCTCATCAATTATGGAGAAATCTTTGATTTGTTGCTTTGTTTGACGAGGAGAATTTTAATCAAATCCCATTCGGGTTTCGGCAGCTTCCCCAGCGCCATAAACCTGACGCGCGCCTCCCGTTAGTAACAAACGACCTACTAAGAAATTCAGATTTCACCAAATGGGCCCAGCCTTTCGCTCTTGATATTTCATCTGCTTTCAGCGGCCTCATCATCGCGCTTTATGGCCTCTGCCTGCAGCAGCCGGGCTTTAATGGCTGCACCTCCATGAGCTTTCACAGGTACTTGTCAAAATGTTTATATTCAGCTGGAGTAAATGGCTGGCGTTCGTCTCCCTGCCGCACCTCTTCACCCACCCAGTGGCCCCTCGCCTGCCTGTGCCCGCTGCAGGCAGCTGCCTGCCCAGCCCCGGGGCAGGGGGTGCTCCTGGGGTGCAGCGGCGTGCTGGGGGAGCTGGGGTGCTCCCCACCGCAGGGCTGTTGGGGACCACAGCGGGTGCCCGCAGGCTGCCTGTACCTGTAGGCAGGTATCCCCAGGCTGCCCGTACCTGTAGGCAGGTATCCCCGGGTTGGCGATCATGATGGACTCCAAGTGGAAGCGCCCGTCACCCAAATACCTGCCGAGAGGGGAGGGAGAGCTACGGCACGCAGGAAACGGCAGCGCCCATACATGTGCCTGCCGGTTTCCCAATGCAGTGCGTGGAGATGCTGGGAGCCCAAGCTCCCACGCTGGGACCCGGGGGCAGTGCGCACAGTCAGGGCTCCCCCGTCTCCATGCAGCCCCCTGCACGCTGGGGCAGGAGCGGTGGCCGTGCTTGGGGCAAGGAGGGATGCCCACGGCGGCGTGGGGCAGCCGGGAGCTGCTCCATCTCAACGGCTGGTTCTAGACGTTGCTGCTTCCATTTCTAATCGGATTTCAAGTCAGCAATTACATTTCAAAGCCTTTCATTCAGCTGCCCTAATGGAGTGAGGGCTTGGAAAATGAATTCAGACGTAAAACTTGACTAGATTTTGCCCTTAATTGGAGAATGACATTTTGGGAGATCAAAGCTAATTTGTCTGCAAAAGTTAGCCCCAGAGACGGGCAAAAGAAGAAAATAATAACGCGGGGAGGATGCAGGTACGCCAGCTGCGTGCACCTGCATGGGCGGCTGGTTGGTACCGCACCGCGGCTCCTCCAGCAACGGGAAGGACTCGCTCACAGCGATGCAGTGCTGGCCCGGCCACCCCTGCCCACTCCCGACGCCCCTGAGGAGAGGTGGAAAGCAGCGCCTCTCCCCCAGCCCTGGCACGGCTGAGGGCAAAGCCAGAGCCCCGCCAACCCCCTGCCCCAGCAATCTGAGCCCGGCTGCCCGCACGGCCGTGCTCAGAGAGGCACCAGCACTGTTGGCTCCCAGCACGGCGGGCGAGAAGGAGCTTGACAGGGCCTGAACCCACACCCAGGCTCCCCAGCTCCCCCCAAGGGTGGGGTCCTTGTATTTATTTATTCTGCAGCACACTGTATTCACAGTACATTAAGCATTTCCATTACCTAAAATAATTAGGTGATAGGAAGCGAAGTGCTCCCTCTAATTTGCTGTCCTTAAATAAAATTAATGTTGCTGTGATGTTGGGCCCTGGCCATTTGTCTTTTCCAATTATTCACCCGCCCTTCCATCTATTATCTATTCTGATATACGACTCAATTATTTCCTCTGCACTACAAGCACACGCCACTCCGAGCAGCACGGGGAGCTGGAGCGGGCCTGTCCCAGCCCGCAGACGTCCCCTCGCCACCCCCAGCACCGCCCAACGGCCAGGCAGGGGGTACAGGCAGGGCGGGCAGCCTGGGCCAGGAAGGAGGGTCCTGGAGGACCCCTGGTACTTACACGATGGCGTCTGTGTCCTGGGCGAGCCGAGGCGACGTGCAGCCCAGGATCTCCCCTGGGGACAGCGGCTTGCACTGGGGCACACACACCTTGTACTGGGAGCGCAGCTCCTGCGATGCCGCCTGCAGGAGACATGGGGTCAGCTAGCCAGCAGGGACAGGCGGTGGCACAGAGCACGGCCAAGGCCGGCGGTCCCCAGCAGTGCCGGGGACCCCTGGGGACACCCTGGATCTGGCAGTCCCAGCTCCATGGGGCACCAGCAGCAATGGCTGTGCTGTTGTGCCTCGGCACAGCGGCAGCGGAGGGGAGCCGCTCTGCTCGGGGCATCACCGTCACGGAGGATAACGGCCCTGCGCAGCCAAGACGCTCAGCGAGGCTCAGCCAACGTATCAATTAAAAGACAAGGGAGAACGCTTAACGCTTCAATAGCCCCATGTTTAGATAGACATGGCTCAAGAGGCTCATTCATCTCCTCCGTCCTGCCCAGCCGGCCCAGCCGGCCGTTCAGGGGCAGACAGACAGACCCGCCAGAGCTTCCCCTGCTGCTGCCGGCACTGCATCAAAATGCCAAGTGCTCCACCGCCTGCCCTGACATTTACAGAGCAGCTCCCAGGGGAGCCAGGGAGGGGTGCCGCCATGAAACATTGATCAGAGTTATTATAAAGTACTTGATCAACATTACAGCAGCAGCATATTATCGCAGCGACTCATCAGAGAGGAACCATCACCGCCAGCACACTGGGGCAGCCGCTCCACCCCGGAGCCGGGGCAGGGAGGGACGGAGCCGGGGCCAAGGTCGGGGGCAGAACAAGCCCCATCCCGCGCCCTGCACTGCCGGGGGTGCCCATCTCACCTGCACCGTGGAGACGAACTGGATGGTGCTGACAAGGGCCAGGGAGGTGCCTGCTGCGAAGTTGAAGCGAATGGTCTCCAGGAAATGGGATGTGTCGATCTTTATGTCCACAAACACGTAGAGCATCTTCAGCCCCTGCGTGGCGTCGATGGGAACTGGTGAGAGGAAGAGAGAGGATGTGAGTGCCGCCTGCAGACGGGGGATAAAGCACATTGGTGGGGCTCCCTGCGTCCTGGCTGCCCCGGTGCGGGCAGGCCAGGGTGGGCTGTGCCACCCCTCTGCCCGCCCTGGCACCCCAGGCGCCCCGGGCAGGGGTGCAGATGGGAGCCGCAGAGAGCACCCGCTCATTTCTCTCCAGATAATGGCAGCCTGGGGAATCAATGAACACAAATCTAATTACCCCCGGTGCTAAGAAGCCTGTGTCACCACGATTAAGTGAATAATTAAAGTACACAGAGTCCACATCGATCCACAGCTCCGCGTTCACTTCCCATTCTGGTGCTCTTCACCTGATCACAATTAAGTGCAAATTACTCCCTCCCGCGGGGCACGTGGGGCCAGGAGGGAGAGGGCAAGCGCCTGTGTGCTGCGCTGGGACGCGCCCTGCCATTGGCCACGGGGTTCCCCGCGAAGGCGGCTGCACTGAGCCGGTGCTGGGAGCGCTGTGGGCAGCCTAAAAGGAGCCCAGCACCCTCTCAGCACCCTGTGGGCACCCCAGGATGCCCTGCGACCCATCCGGCCTGGTGCAGGCAAGGACCATGCAGCCATGGGCAGTGGATGTCGGCTGGGCTGGTGACGGGCAGCCTGGCAGTGCCTGCCTGTCTCTGCAGGGAGCAGCTCCAGAAGATGTGACTCCCGTCCCCCGGAGCAGCCTGGCTCTTGCACCGGCGTGCTCCCGAGCACCGCCGAATGTGGCCCCTTCCTCCCCTTCCCGCTGTTCATTCACGTAATAGCAGGCTACAAACCAGGGGTTTTATACGCCCTGTTCCAGTGGTGCCCATAACCCTCCCTCTGTAACAAAGCACCCAGCACAGATATTTATCATGGCGAATGCTCGTGCTGACGTGGCTTTCGGGACACAGTTCTCAAGCAGGGAGTCAGTATTTCATACGGAGCCTGGCGCAATTCTTCAAACCCATTTATATGGCCCCATAAACATCCAGGAGGGCTGCCGGGTGCTGGGAGCGCGGCGGCGGCAGCAGCAATGCACATGCCTGCCGCTCGCTACGGCAATTCTGCCGATCCACCTTAAAACCCAGAGCGTCTTATTGTTATTTTTGGGCTGATTCCATCCTGGGTGGACTTCAAAGTTAGCAGCATCTGGGACAGCAGCGCAGTTTCCATGGCAACTGGATCCAGAGTACCGTCCGCCTGGGGAGCACACAGCCTCCTCCTCCCTTCCCCGCCCAGCCTGCGCTGCACCCGCAAAGCCGCCTTCCCCGGCCCCACGCCAGCCGCCGAGCAAGCGGGACCCCAGGCCATGGCTCCCGACTTCCCCCAAAGCCCACAGCTGCGGAGAGGGGGCGAGAGCCGCCCCGTCCCCATCGGCAGCTCCTGGGCGAGCGGGGTCTTGCCAAGCCATGGCCTTGCTGCTCTGCTCTTGGGCACAGGGCCACGATTTGGGTGCTGTGGCAACACATGGCCGAGCAGGAGGAGCACGCCCTGCTGCCCCCAAAATCCTGCCTGCGGGCAGCTGCCCAGCCAGCCTGACCCTGTCCAAAGCCAGCAACCGAGGCTGGAGAACAGAAATCCCTTTGGGAAGGGATTAGCCCTTGGCACTAAGTCTCCGAGCTGGCATCGAGCAGGGCGGGGAGCCACTCGGCACGGCACGGTGGTGGTGATGCAGCCTCCGCAGTGCCACACACGGCTGCCTCAGCAGTGCCCCGGGGCCGAGTGTCACCTACTCAGGCAGCTGTGTCCGTAGTGCACCAAGAAGTCAGCGCCCAGGGCCCGGGCCGTGTAGTCGTCCACGCAGCACGCGCCGTAGGTCACGTCACCCATCACCACCGCCTCCGCGTCCGTGAACCTGCGGGGAGGCACAAGAGTGAGGGTCACGGCTGGCTGCCGTCACCACAGCCCACGTCCTGCCCCCCAGCCCCGCGGCGTGCCACTACCGGGGGACCCCGTGCTGCCATTGAGCCCCTCGCCACGCGCCAAGGAAGACGATCACTGGCTACTCTCCGAGATGTCAACATGATTAAGCTGGAGAGCGGTAATCCGCCTCTTCAATTGGGTAAAGCTGTTTGCAATTCAGCGGATTATCCGCTCATCAAACAATACGCTGCCAGCCTCCTAATGCTCCAGCAGGGAGAGGAGCAGAGGGAGACCCGGCGCAGCGCAGTGCTGCCGCTCCCGCCAGCCGGCCCTGGGGACCAGAGCCACCAGGCTGGGCAGAACAGCCGCCCTGGCATCCCCAGTGATTCCGGCCGAGCCACCACCTCCCCGGGCCCAGGCACCACACGAACTAGTGCACCCCAGCCCGCACCCGGTTGCGTCACCCATGGGTGCCAGTTTGGCCAAGCTGGGTGTGCTCCACGAGCAGCTGGTGCTTAGGTGGGACTTGGCAAGGAAAAGCACCGAGCGAATGCTGGCACTGTCCCCCATCCCTGTGCCGGCATCCGCGTGCTCTGGCCCAAGCCTACCCGGCACCTGCCAGCCAGCGGATGGGCACACACCGGCACCGGATGGCAAAGCCGGGGCTCTGGCATGATTTAAAGGCGCCACCTTTCTGGGTATTTTATTGCACCATTCTGGGGGATTATTAGCTTGGCTGCCTTCCCGGGAAGCCGCTGTGGTAGTTTACGGATGAAAGCAGGTATCGCGATGACAAAGCCCCGTGCCTGGAGGGGCTACTTAAACCAGATGCTAATTCCTTATTTACACGGAGGTTGCACACGCCGCCGTAGCTCGGTGCCTGTGGGGTCCCTGCTTGTGCGGGGCTGGGGCAAAGGGGCTGGGGGAGGTGGGTGCCCCGGCACAGCGTCGCGGCAAGAATAGAAATGGTGGGCAGAGCTGGGCAGATGGCAGAAGGTGGAGAAATGGCGGAGCGTGCTGAATATTAACAGCTCTGGCCCATCCGTCAGCGCCCAGGGAGGGGGACAGGGGAGCAGCTCTGCTGGAGTATCCCCAGAGAGGGGGCAAAGCCATCCCCACCTCCCGTGTCCAGCCTGGGCATCTCCTGCTCCCCGCAGTGTCCCAAGGGCTGGGGACGCAGTTGGAGACCATCAGAAGATGGGCCAGATCCTGCCAGCACCCAAATCCCACAGTCCCTGGCCGCCAGCGTGGCCCAGACGGGAGGACAGCTCCTCCGCTGCCTGCACGTCTGCACTGTGGGGCTGGGGGCTGCCGGTGAAGGTTCGAGAAGGCTCTTTCTCACCCCCTCGAGCCCCCAGCCCCCTCCTCTAATGAGAGGTGATGAGATGAACGTGAATCAGACTCCACACATCTCAGCAAAAGTGGAAAATTATTCAGCTCCTTAAGATTCAGGACGGGGAGGTCTGACTCAGAGCGGCAGCCAGCGCCACTTCATTTTTTATAGATTAAAATGTATGCAAATTGGCCCAAACCCCGGAGAAAGTCCCTCGGGGTGAAGAGCAAGAAAGTGAAATAGCAACGGCGGAGGGAGGAGGGCAGAGGCTGGGGGGGGGGCCCGCGG